TAGGATCTACCCTATGTGTGTGTGTGGAAGATTTATAGGATCTGCCCTGTGTGTGTGTGTGAAGGATTTATAAGATCAACCCTGTGTGTGTGGTGGGTTTATAGGATCTACTCCATTTGTGTTTGTGGAGAGGATATATAGGATCTACCCTCTGTGTGCGTGTTTAGAGGATTTATAGGATCTACCCTATGTGTGTGTGGATAATTTATCTACCCAATGTGTTGTTGTAGGGTTTTAACGCCATTTTTCTGCACAAGATAGGCTATACATGGCGGCCAGTATTAATGGTGGAGGAAGAACCCTGGAAAAACCAGGGAAGAACCACTGACCCACGAGAAGCTACTGGCAGGCTTTCTCACTTACCCACATTAGACATTAGCTGAGTCAGAGCAAATGAGCTACATGCAAAACCAATGAAAATATAAATTACATTATGACAATGTGATCTGGTGTTAGAATGAAGTTTACTGAACTCACGCAGACAGAGGTGAGATGGCAGTGATCCGTAATGGTCATCGCTTTAGACCACTGGGCCTCTCAGGGCTCCTCTACCCAATGTGTATTAGAATTTATAGAATCTAGTCAATGTGTGTGAATGTGTTTGATTCTTTTAGATGCTAGTGGATGGGACAAGATAAATGCTCAGGAATAAGATTTGTACATGTAAGGGCCAGTCTATTTTTCACATCCACTTCAAACCATATGTTTTGTGTATTCATGAGATACTGTCAGACTCTAGAGTGATGAATGGATCACTATATTAAGTGCTCCAGATATGTTTAAGTTTTGTGTTTTCATGACATACTGTCAGACTCTAGAGTGATAAATGTATCACTATATCAAGTGTTCCAGATTTTGCATAGAATATTATCAACCTATCTGGAAAGATGGATGCCCATCACTGATTTAAACAACCATCAGCAACAGTAATGAGTCTGTACACATTCAGAATGTAAGGTATGCCCATCAACATGCCTGTCATAAAGCTCACTGGCACATCACAAACAAATGTCCATCAACATGCCTGTCATAAACCTCACTGGCACATCACAGACAAATGTCCATCAACATGCCTGTCATAAAGCTCACTGGCACATCACAAACAAATGTCCATCAACATGCCTGTCATAAACCTCACTGGCACATCACAGACAAATGTCCATCAACATGCCTGTCATAAAGCTCACTAGCACATCAAAGACAGGTATAGTACTGTACAGAAATTCAAAAGCATGAATGCAACTGGTTGTCATTCATTAAATTTGCAAATTTACATATGTATTGAATTTTGGGGCTTTGAACCTGAGCTTGTGTTTCTAGCTCAAGAAGTTCTGAAAATATTGGATCTAGTCTACTGCTGTGGCAAGATTAGTTTTTCCATCCCCACTAGCCAGAAATATCCAATTATGCTAGTGTAATCTATACACATTTCCTCATTTACTAGAGGCTAAAAATGGAATTTTGACTGCCTTCCATACATACTCACATAATAAGCAGTGTATAAGTTATCCCCTTTGCTATATATCACCATGGTGACTAGTCTATAACATTATGTTGGGGTGAACTTTATCATGACAATTGTCAGGAAAATATGTATCTTTATTACCTGATTGTATTATTTAAATACATGCTCTGTCACTTGTCATATATAGTGATTTATAGTGTATATACTCACTTATTATATATTGCAAATTACATAGACACATTTCTGCCCTATCAAAATGCGTCAACAGAACTGGGTCTGTCTTGTTTGCCAGACATTTACATGAGTATATATGACACCACACAATACATATTCCATTCATCATATAGTAATGGTAGACAAGTTCACTTACTACCTACAATATGGTTAAGACTAAACTTGACATCACTGTGTACTTCTTTTCACTAGTTTTAACCTAAAAATACACCAACAGTTCACAACAGATGAATTATTCACTAGGAAGTACTCTATGGGTTACTACACTGTCTAACCTCTTAAAAATAACAATGCATGTGTTGTGTTGTGGATGAATCCTATAATTACAATGAAGACTTTTCCTCAACATTACACACACACACACATATATATATATATTCATTACTAGCAAATAAAAATTACTTTTATGTAACTTGTTTCATTTTATTGGACTTCTTGTGATTTTATCCATATTTAATATCAGATAAATATTTTATTTTATACTTATAAATTCTTGGCTTTTTACAAACAATTGTTTTTTCCAACTATGACATTATTTGGCCAATTGATTTAGTATTTTGTATATTTTTAAACAAAAGTAATCATTCTTTTTACTCTGCTTTCCGTGTACTTAAATGAAGGGTTATGTTTTTTTGCTTTAAGCTCCCTTCTCCCCTCAAACATTGAACCTCAATACAGGACCATACACCTCTTTCAAAATCCCAATATATATATGTATATCAACCCTGATATGGTTGACAGTTATATAAGCAGTACATTTACAGACTCATAAAAATACAGCCCAATCTCTGCTTCTATGATTGTGAAAAACAAAAAGATTTATTGTACTTTTCAAGATTTTTCCAATGAAGCACCTAGTCTGTTTTTGTCATAATTATAATTCTGTATGAAGTAAATTGTAAACACATCTTGAGATGTTTATGTCTGTTTTAAATTATTCATATCCTTTCAATTGTTTTTCATTTTTATTTTCATTTCTATCAAGATCAGAACTATAAATTTCTAAGTGGGTGCATCCTATTATTTCAATTATTTTTATAAATTTCTGAACCATGAATTTCTAAATCCTTTTTAATTTCATTAATTTTTACCAATATAAGAAACACAGATTTCTAGGTAGAACCATCTTATTTTATTTCATTAATTTTTATAAAAATCAGAACCACAAATTTCTCAGTGTATGCATCCATTCTCCTTGATATCTTTCACCTGTTTATGCATTTTCTGGCAGGCATATTGGATATCAGATCAGTGCTATTTTCAGTTAAGACCAATTAAGCATCATAGGAAATCTTTTAGTAAAAAAGCCAAGTCGACCGATTTATGATGAGTAGATATTAACAATTTTTTTTAAGATGGCCACTGTGGCACACATACTTGATGACTGAGCAGCACTATTTTTACCTAGGACAAACTAGTATTTGACATGAATATTTTGTCAAGTTTAAATTTGATTTCTCCAAGGCAATTAGAAAAAGTAATGATAACTAGTGCTAAGACAGACAGATGACAAACAATAGATAAAGGAATTAGGTCATTTCATAAACTCATTGCTAATATTTAAACTTAAATTAGTGCACTTTATAATAAAATATTTTTTTAAACATCAGTGGCATAATAAAAATATCAAATTGTTAATCTTGGAATACAATACAGATAATGGACATGTTTTCATCATTTGAAAGTGTATCTTTGTTATCTTGCCTTTTATGTACGACAACAATTCCCTGCTTGTGAAGCAAACAAATGATTATAGTTATGCCTTACCATGAAAATTTCTTCTCATAACTTTTGTGGACGTAATAATAAATTTCGTGGAATAATTTAAGTCAATATTTGACTTTGGCTTTTATGGGTAACTAGTGTATTGTTTTAAATACTAAAAGAGGATTCCCATTTTAGTAAACATTTGTATGCTTTGAAAGCTGAATATATTTAAAGAGAGAAGATAATGCTGACTATTAAATTTTATGAACATATTTTAAAACATACAACATACTATAAATTTAAGGTTGAAACAAAAAAATACTTCTCTATTTATTACCTATGTCCACTTTATCTCTCTTATTCCTACCTACTTTCACAGACAAATGAATGATTTAAAAATGGTTCAAGATGAAGAGAAATATAAATAGAAGCACAAATAAATTATTAACCACAAAAGAGAATGAATTGAAATGAAACTGATATGGTAAATATTGCCTTTCAGATGAAATAACTTAATGTATTGTTGTTTTTTTAAAATTTCTACATCTCTACAAAATTACCAATATTTGGTCTATATAGGTAAAATGGAGTTTACTCAAATTTAAATATCTGCTATTCACTTGGTCCACACAGGCAATGTGTCAAGTTTAGTCTTATATATAACACATGACAGCATTTGTTTGCCATTATTGATGTATATATGCAAAGACTTTTTCAACAAAGTCTTGGGTTGGTTTGAGAGGGCGTGTGTATGTGGCCATGATACAATGTACATCAGATGTATAAAAGAGAATCTTCCCAGTTTTTTAATGGCATGCCTGAAAACCCCCCCCCACGTCCTATTAAAATTAATATAATGTGCAGTAGTCAGATCATTTGGCCTTTTGATGTAAAGGGAAGTATGAAGCAAAGGGCAAAACTCACAATACATTTGATGGAGCAAACACTATACTAAGTTATGAGTCATGCTTTTTCTGCAGAAAGGCTTCAGATCAGTTCAATGGCAGGGACATTAAGTGATCAGCATTAAATCAATAGTTGCTATTGCTGTTTAGAAAAAGTAGAAAACCAACATAACAGGTCTCTCTCTCTCATTATTAATTTCTCTTCTTATGTTCTAAACAATAAAAGTGATTTAATTTTTATGTTTACAAGTTAGCTGGCAACATTTTCATAATGTACTTGTATCAGGTAAATTATCTAAAGATAAGGAGGGTTCATATAACTCGAAGCATTTCAACTATTAATACTGTTCCCATGTTTATATAACAGGATAAGCCAAAGTTTTACTAAGTTCCTTTTTTTCTCATGAAGTTTAAAATGGTATGAAAATAGAATAAAGTTTACTACTGATATTTATGTGCGTGATTTAAATTTTTAATGTAGCTTTAACATTTTTCATATCGCTACAATGTTTGCAGTGTAACAGTCTATAATGATGCCTAGCACTGGCGCATCATGCTGCAGGCATGTAGCATGATGTCCCACCCAGTCACATAATCCTGACACCAGGCTGTCCAGTCCTAACACTAACCTCTTAATGGTGAGTGCCAAGCAAGGCAGCTGTTAGTACCATTTTTAAAAGTTTTTGGCATGATTCAGCCAGGGTTCGAACCCATGACCTCCTGCATCTAAGACGGATGCTCTAACCACTTGGCCACAGAAGTTGTTAAAAATTTTATTTTTATGTGTAATTCTTCAGACAATTTAGAGGTGTCTTTTGAGAAATCCTCTAAACACAAAAATCCTGATACTGACATTAATTTCACAAAGACTGAACATCAAGAAAAAGTGTTCTTGTCAAGTGTCAACATTTGTAGAATTCTGTTCATAATCTGAGGTAAACTACCAATACTGTTTTTTTCCCCTTACAATTAATTTTCTTCATATATTGGATAGATGGATGGAAGGTGCAACTGTACATCAAAACAATTTTGTCAAAATGGTTTTTTTTGTGGGTTTAATGCTGTTTTTTAGTATACACAGGCTATACATTGCTGCCATTTGGTGAAGGAAGAACCCAGGAAAAACTCAGTGAAGAACCTCCAACATAGGAGAAGCTACTGGTACGCTTTCTCACATAACCATGTTGACTGACCCAAGACTCAAACCCTCAAAGAAAGTGGTTAGATATTAGTGATCTGTAAAGATGAGTATCTCTGACAACTTGGCCAACTGTGGTCCCTGTACAAAATGTATGAATAGATCCATCACATTTTTATACTTATAAAAACATCATCATTTATGGCTAAAAAAAGGCAAGGGCTTAATTGATTCACTAAAATCAATAAACTGCAAACTTTTACATTAGTAAAATGTACAATGTCTTTTGGAAATTGTGAAACTGTTCACAATATATAAATTTTGCATAATATCCTTTTCAGGAATATCTTCAAGAAACAAAACAGATATTTAGAAAATATTTAAAAGATTTACTCCACAAGAGGAAACAAATCCTGTAACTGGCAACTTTTTCACCATAAAAATATGTTATATCCTGCTTACACACTTTAACTAAATGCAATTTTCTCCTACTAGAAACAAATATAGATACATGATTGATTCTGTGGATTTTAGACCTCAGGTGATCGATTCTGTGGATTTTAGACCTCAGGTGATCTTAATGGGAACAAAAATAATAAAAATATTAGGCTAAAACTGGACGCCTTAGTTTCTATTTTATGCACAAAAACAACCATACACAAGTCTCTTGTACCACAGATCTCAGCAATGAAATGTCTTGGACACAAACTTTGCTTTCCAACTTACAAGGTGAAACTTTTAATTGTCATTACTTTAATTAACAATAAAATAATTCATAATCTAAATATATGAACTGGTGCAATATTGTTTGCCCTCCATGTTTTCATTTCTATGCATGTTGTTTCTATTTTCTAGACTGGAGTCCTGAGTTTATTTTCTGTTCTTGGGACATTATGTGAGCACACATCACATATGTAAGAATTTACTGAATAAATTAAATAAGATGCATAATTAATAAGCAAGCAAAACAATGAGATACCCCATGAGAAGTAAATGATTAACAATCACATTCAAAGCCCAATTCAACTCATGATCAAAGTCAAATTTCTGCCTTAAACATTCCTACAAATCTGACACAAAAAGAACATTTAATTTTGAGAATATATAATTTTCTGCCAACAATCTTGCCAGAGTTCTGGCCATTATAAGATATTACATGGCATTAATACATGATACCAAAAAAAAAATCAATTAACAAAGCAAAAGTGCCAAAAAGATTGGTGACATTACAAACTTTCTCCTCCACCAGGACCCCCCACCCCCACGACAAATGCCTTTAGGTTATTCTTCATGCAGAGTTACATTTTCTTCTTGTGGGGTTAATGTAATTTTGCAGCACATGTTAGGCTATGTATGGTGGCAATTATATTTAGTGGAGGTGGAACCCAGGAAGCTTACCAAATACCCTCACTGGTTGACCCGAGACATGGTGACATGTGTGAGATCTGTAAGGTGAGCACTTTAGACCGCCTGACCACCCTGGACGGACGCCATACAAAACAAAAATGTGAAATATTCTAGGTCAATATAATAAACAAAGCATGCTTTTCTACTAACTGTAAGAACAATATTTGTATCAGGCTGCATCAGTTTGAAATTGCATTAAAGCTGCATTACTTCACAAAATTGACTTCTGACTAATATCATGTGTTCTTTACATCACCAAACAAAGCAAATTGATAATTATGTCCAAACCACATCCAGACCATCTGCTTGTTTACTTTTTGTAAACCATTATACTGTGCAGTCTAAAAATAGTATCATGTACATTCAGTGGTGTAGAGGTTTGATAACAAGACTACCCTGTCCTAAACAATCAACATGTCTTGCATCATCAAGATTTTCTAACTAGTTCAATTCTCTTTTATGGGTAGATCAGGTTGTAGGTTGGGCATAAAACATCTTACAAAGACACCCAGTGACAGAACATTGTCTCTACACTTTGCTTTGCCACCCTTGAGTTAATTATGGGCTGATTGTGTACAATTACATTGGCCATATTGATCTCATTGCCAGTTTTTGGCAATAATACACAACAATGCGCTTCGAAACACTCAAACTATTTCAGTGCTAAATCCTGTGTCTGACATTTTAAGCAGAGTGTAAATGTTTCAAAACATTTCTAGCACTATTCATTCAGAAAGCCAAAATACTGTCATGTCATTATCTTAATTTCTGAGTTCTTTGCAAGTGAATGAAGCTTTAAGTTTCCATAAGACCTATTTAAATCAATTTTCTTTTCCTACTAAGCACATCCTTTGTCCTTTACACATCCTTTGCTCACTGCAACAGCCAAGAAAAAATATTTTATCAGGCTTGATATCTGAAGGTCTGAACACACTAGGGTAATTTGAATGCATGTGTGTGATACAGAGAGGAACTTTTAGCTGGCTGCTGATTCTACTTCATCACCCGCTTTTGTCTTCAATACCTGCAAATATTAAAAACAATTAAGTTATGGTATGTTAATGGCTAAAAAAGGATGCATGTATTAACATAAACAAAATTAGATTATTCGCCTGTCTCTCATGTGCCTCATAGCTGCTGACTGCATTTGTTATGAAAACAACCATTTTTTTTCTCTAGTTTTACATCTTAATCAACATCCAATGACACATCAGCATCATTTATCCAATAACGAAAACCTTCTATGCCATGATACTTTATATCAAACCAAAGTGTAATGTTTTCTGTTTTTAGAAATGGTGGCAATTGTCATCATTTTATAAATGTGAAAGGTTTTCAAGGTAGGACACCTTTGACACCTTTTTCTTTTATTTTCAACCTACAGAACTTTACGTCACATTCAGTCAAATTCTACATGGCAGTTCTTTACTTTTTAGCAACATTATCCATGTTTTATGGCAAATCAGCACCATTTGCTCAAATTTTATTTTTGTTCGATTATGAAGAAAAGTTTTAATCTGTTAATTTATGTTTGTTGTAGAACATTATGTGTATATTCAAAATCTGTTTCTCCAGTAAAATGTAAGTGGAATTTGTGAAATTCACTGGTAAAATCAGTAAGGAATTTTACTGTCCAACATTCAATCACGATTCGCTGTTATTTGTGACATTATTACAGTATAAAACAAATCAACCACTCACTAACGCAGAAGTACTGGTTGCACAGTCATATCAGGTACAGTCAAACCCACTTATCTCGAAACCTGGTTACCTCGCAATGACAAGGATGGAAAAAGTCAGTACAAGACCAAATTTTACCAGTACAAATGCTAATCAAACAATGTCATCAATGCTTGGTTTATCACTTATTCAGAGTAGAGAAAATTACCATGTAAACAATACTTTGAAGTACAGAAATTTAATGTATGCATTTTTTCTGACCTTTTGCATAAGCTGTGTTCAAATTGGACATTATCGCTTGTCAACACGACAATACAGTTCATACCACACTGCATTACAAATTTGATCTTATCTATAACTTGGAAAATTATCAGGTTAACATCATTAAATGTAGCTAAAAATACCTATTTTGTTAAACCCAATATATTTAAAACAAATTCAGTAATAAAGTGTTTTCATGTTTGGTGTGAGAGTAAAAGCCTTCAACTTCAGCTTGGGTAAATCACCTGACTTACAATAATCTATAACTAAAACCCCACAAAACTCCAAAATAAGCTACCCCCCACTTACCCACACACCAATGGTTATTAATTTGTTTTAAACAAGAATAAATAATAGCACCAACAGTATTGTAAAAAAGAAAGTCTATAGTGCCCAGTAGTTTTTATGAAAATGGTGATCACTCTACCAAGGTTACATATTCTTCAACACAAATGGAATGAAGTCGAAGGCAACTGATAGGATTAAAATTTAAAACTGAAAGAAGAGTGCATTCAATTGTGTCGTTTTTATCTTGAATTTCAAAGTCTTACAATCCATTAAAGATATTAGCTGACTTTTCTTCTGGAGCTGTGTTCTTGCCGATGTCAGGTCAAGGTCAGGAGGGATATGGGACTACAACTCATGAATGGAATAAGTTGGCTTCATACAGAATTTGATGTTGAGACAGTTAACTCTAACGACTTCAAACACATTTTACAATTTGTTGATACATGATAACTGACAGCCCCATATTTTTCTGTTACAGAAGCAAAATTTATCAGTAAAATAACTGCATATACTCAAGTAATGGAACATCTGATTTATCAATTAATCCCTGATATCTCCAGACCCAGTTATGTCTAAAAGTTTTTGACCTTAGCTGCTATTTAATAGTGAAAATAGATTTTGCCCAACTAGACAATACCACCTTCTTAAAGTACAATGGATGAATTACCAAATGCTTTAAAAAAAATTAAAAAAGTTATTGGCTCTTTTTTTACAATTTACCTCTGAAGTCAGGAAGTGAAAATGGCTAAGTGGAGCCAACACTTTTTTGAAAGGTGCACATCTGGAGTAAGGCCAAGCTGTATATTCATTAACCCATATCATATCCATCAATCGTGCACCAAAATAAAGGGATTTAAAGGTTTTTTAAACAATACCTGAGATATACAAGTTTTTGTTTTTTTTAAGTAGCCAGTATAACCAGTGAGGAAACCCAGGGAAATTCTTTTTCTAGAAAATTATAACCCTATGCAAAATATGAAACTGAAGA